ATAACCTGAAGCTCTTGTGATCTCACTAGCCTGGATGTATTTTTTTGTAGTGCCCAAACTTCGTTTGCTGTAGGCTTTGTTAAGCTAACTCTGTGAAAGCCAATGTCTCCCTTTGCAGATGTAATGTTCACACAGCTTCATTACACACCAACTAAAGTTTAAAATATGATATCATATTGGACCACCCCTTTAAATCTATTCCTGCTATGTGAATATTGCAGATACACGCATTGTGATAACGTTGCTCAAACGGTATATTCTTTAGCCCTAAGACAGACAGACAGACAGACAGACAGACAGACAGACAGACAGACAGACAGACAGACAGACAGACAGACAGACAGATAGATAGATAGATAGATAGATAGATAGATAGATAGATAGATAGATAGATAGATAGATAGATAGATAGAGATATATTTTATATTATAATTAGGGCTTGACATTACTTTTTTTGATCATCAGCCACTGTGGCTAGTAGATTTCCAACATTACTAGCCACTTGCCATTTTCACTAGCGACACTTTTTTGTTGGGAAATATATTTTTTATGCATAAATTTGACTTTGACATGCTAAAATGACTTGATTTAGATGTTGTGTTATGTCCACAACATGCCTCCTCATTTATTTAACTTCTTGTGTATGTTGTGTATTAGCTTGCCCTGTGTGCATGCGCAAATGGCTTGTCGCAATGCAATTAGTTTTTATTTTACAGGACTTTTTATGGCTCAAAATTAAGGATTTACCAAATTTATCTCTGAATACACCAAATTAGTATTTCTTAGCCACAATGTTTTAATGTGTCAAAACAAGGAAAATATAGCCGTATAGGTGCACTTTTTAATTCAACAAAACTTTGCTTTAAAAAAACATTAAATTCAAAAAAAGAATTATTGTCATGTCTCTAAAATATGCAGAGTAATCTGTCCTGGCTAAAGATCCCAGATCAGCAGTTAACTACACATAAACGGGGAGTAATTTACCATTAAAGCAATGTTATTGTAAAAAAATATTAAACCATATTAACAAAAATAAGTAAGCAAAAGAAAGCAGGTGAAACATAATAAAAGGATGATCACATGCACACAGTTAATATAGGCCTGTTAATCTGTTCAAAGAATACGTTCATTCATTCATTTTCTTGTTGGCTTAGTCCCTTTGTTAATCCGGGGTCGCCACAGCGGAATGAACCGCCAACTTATCCAGCAAGTTTTTACGCAGCGGATACCCTTCCAGCCGCAACCCATCTCTGGAAAATGTTCAAAGAATAATTAAAATGAAAGCAGTGACTGCTGCTGCGTACAAAAGAATATGTGTTTTTTTAATCTTGAGCTTTTGAAAGCAGCAGGACTGTGGGTGCATGATCATCGCTCTTTGTCCAGTCTATTTCAAAGGGAACCGATCGCACCAGTTGCGCTTCCTCTAGGCACAGTATTCGCATCATCTGTGCGTGTGAGTGATCATCCTCTTGTTCGGTATTTACCTTCTTTTTTGAAGGTAAAAAGCGCGAACACTGTTACTTTTGTCAGTCTACTGCTTCTTGATTCTAAGATCACATTTGCATGAATATCGGGACATGCTTATTGTCGAACCTTGCTTTTAAGAAAACTACAATTTAAAAATGATTTACAACCAGCCAAAGTGGCAAGTGGAGGTGTCTGTCTAACCCGCCAGAGCTGATATCCACCTGCATTTGGCGGGTGTTAATGTAAAGCCCTGATTTATAACTATAGGGATATAACAATATTGTAAAAACCGTCATACCGCAATAGTAATTTTTTTCAATATTACCGTAGGCGCATGACTCAATAAAACTATATTTCTGAGAAAAGTTTGCTTAGGCGAATGAAGTGAACGGGAGGTAGCGGGAACTACAATTCCCATCAGCCTAGGAGTGGCCATCATCCTTTGCGGTCTGTTGTCTCTACAGATCCAGTAATGCGGAAATGGAGTGTGCTGCTAGTAGCGGGGAAGAAAAAGAGCTGGAAATGATTGAACCTAAAGCGGGTTTTAAATCGAATGTGGAAGCATTTCGGTTTCTTTCTAAAAAGATACGAAAAAGGAGGAAAGGTGACAGACAAAGAAATAACAGTATGCAGGCACTGCCAGACTGTGGTGAAATAAAAGTCGGGGAACACGACTAAAACAGTCATGGGGACTGCAGAACACAGCACACTTGTTAGATTGATGCAGACATTGACTTGTACCGCAAAGAGACCTCTATCTCACTCATAGCTTGTCCTCTCAAGTGGGGGAAAGACAATGCACAACGTTACCCACTGCTGTCAACCTTGGCTACATAATATCTCTCTGTCCCAGAAACCTCAGTCCCAAATGAGAGTTTTTTTTTTTTCTGTTGCAGGGGACATGCCCAGAGATCCCAGCTTTTACCAGATTATAGTTATATGATCATTTTCCTTAAAAAACCCATCTCTATCTAAGTGAGTGAGTGATTAAATGTTGAATGTGATGAGTTTTCAACAATACTAAATTGATACTTATTTTTTTTTTATATGGTTTAATAGTTTTTTGTTATTAAAATTGAAAAATTGTAGTTCCTGTTTCGAAACTTACAGATAGACGGCTAATTTGTATGTCATTGATATGTTCAGTGCTAAGGTTTTTCGAGTCTTTTCATTCGTTTTGTTTTTCCTGTAAATTATTCAATAAATACCGTACCGTGCCATTCATACCGAGGTATTATCGTACCGTGAAATTCTGATACAGTAACATCCCTAATAACTATACATTTTTACTACATTTTAAATTATATAAATAATAAAAACCCAGGTAATGAACAAAAACTGTTCACTACCCAAATATTTTTCTTTTCTTTTTCTGATACACAAGTACTCTCTCTCTCTCTCTCTCTCTCTCTCTCTCTCTCTTTCTATCGGGAGCGGACTGGCCATCTGGCAATTCTGGCAAATGCCAGAAGGGCTGCACCTTTTTTTAAATGTGGGCCGGTATGCTATTTTTTATTTTTTTTAAAATAATTATTATAAATAAGTATTGCATTTACATACAGGCAGTTTTTGTTTCTTGCAAGATGTGAATATTATGATGATGATGATGATAATAGTGATAATAATGAATGTTAAGCATTGGCCCAATTGGCAATGGCCATAATCAAAATCTGGCAAGAATGCCAAACAAATATTAGGTGCAACACAAGCTAATTGTCAGAGATGTACCATAAAAAAAGGAAAAGCGGTGCCAAAAAGCTCAGAGAAACTTAAAAATTGCTCTAAAATCAGACGCTGCCAAATGCATTAAATTAACTGAAATAGTCTCAAAAGGGGCAGCACAATGGGTAGCGCTGCCGCCTCACAGCAAAAAGGTCAATGGTTCGAGCCTCGGTTGGGTCATTTGGTGTTTCTGTGTGGAGTTTGCATGTTCGTGTGGGTTTCCAGACACAAGTCCAGACACAAAATAAATATCTATTGAATATCTATTACGTATGGTATTGCTTATATTATTTTACCATCTGTACACTAATAAAAGTAGTGAATGTGCGTGTCCGAGGGTGGGGCTGTGTCGGTGTGATAATGTGGGCTGATGTGGCAACAGTGCCAGGGCTGATTTTTAGTCCCAGTCTGCCCCTGCTTTCTATGGTACTCTCTGACACACAGGTAAGAAATTAGTTCTAACCTGTATTTTTGTCTTTAAGAGAGTGTAAATGAACAGCAAATGTTAATCTGTGGATGAATCGTCTCTTTAATGTTTTGTTTTGCTTCATTCTTCCCTCAGTAAAGACGTCTGGAGTTTGCATTTCCAAATATAACTTAGAATCTCTTTCCTGAACATGCAGTTAATCTAAAACGACTCCGCCAACGAACATATTTGGATGATTAAAGTTATAAAATCAACTCACCGTCTCATGCGCTTCAGTTTAAAGGTACTGCTGGTTTAAATATTTATGCTTAATATTTCATCTCTAAAGTCGCCATCTGTGTGTACTGTATATGCAAAGGATAATAAATGTGTGTGCAGACCACTAAGTATATGGATTATAGACATTATTCTATTATTAGCCACTTATGAGAGCCAAGGTATTAAACATCCAGGAAGTTTGATCCGGTGTAAGTGCTTTGTGTTAAAATTTTGATGCCGTCCTGAGGCTAAGAGTTGATGTGCAGTTTTTAAAGACCTGCTCTCAGATCTCCTACATCATCAACACCAGTGATAAACATACTGGGATGGATTATTAATGGCTCACCTGCAGAATTTGATCACATACTGACCGCTGGAGCACAGGTGAAGGGAACAACAGGTACAGGGCAGTGTTGAATGTCCCGACCAGGCTTATTGGAAATGTGTGGCTTGGCTTACATTTTTGCAAAACCTGAACAGCACTTTTTGTTGTATATTTGTATGTTTTAGTTGACAAATGCACTAGAGGGTGCTGTCTGCTTTTTTGTCAATCTGGAAAAATTACTTGAGGTACTTTTTGTTGCGGGGTGGCGTAGTGGGTAGTGTTATCGCCTCTCAGCAAGAGGGTTGCTGATTCAAGCCTTGGCTTAATCAGTTGGCAGTTATGTGTAGAGTTTCTTCCCGTGTTGGCGTGGAGAGTGTATGGGTGTTTCCCAGTGATGGGTTTCAGCTGGAAGGGCATCCGCTCCATAAAACATATGCTGGATAAGTTGTCGGTTTATTCCGCTGTGGTGACCCCTGATAATAAGCTGACGGAAAATAAATGAATGACTATGTATAAATTAATTTTAAAAATTTAATCCCAAAATATACTGCTTGATTAAATTTGATGATTTAAAGTATTTACATAAGATAATTAAATATTTTATTTAAATATTAAAATCATTAAATTAATTTATTAAAGTTTTTTTTATTTCACATACATTTTACTGCAACGTTTTAGCATTTTTTTTTTAATAAATTAACACAAGTCTGTGAAAAATAAATCGATTTGTATCTATCAATCCATGTTTTTGACAGACATATCAGATTATTTCCAAGCGGACTTAGTCAGCTAAAAAAAAAAAAGGAGTGCATGATGACTGTGATAAAATCTTTTCTAGAAGCCCCGTTGTAATGATGATGAGTTCCTAGTAAAACAGCAGTCAAATGGACCGTCCCGGAGGAGCAGCAGGTCCCTCCTCTCTCGGCCTCTGATTGGACGAGCGACCTGTCAGTCACGCACAGGCGTCTGTCATTGACCGGAATCCCTGAGGCTCTCAGAGCAGCTGTGAGAACATCCAGCGAGCAAGTCTTCAACAGGAGCGCCCAAAAAAAGTGACTCCAGGACGGTTCATTTAGCGTTAAATAACTTTATTAACCTCTCTGGTACACCTGGATACAAATTGTTTTGTGTTTTTCGTTTTTTTTTTCAAGGATATACGCGGCTTTGTCTCGCGCGCTCTTTTGGATAGGTTGATGAACAACGCGCGCTCCTAAAAAACAATATTAAATAACAAATACTGACTTTTTTTCTGACGTCATGAGTTAGATTAACTACGCTTAATCTCTTTAGAATAGTCTAAAGTACTTGTTTTGTCCAGTCGGAGTGTTTAAGTGTTGCGCTGGTGTTTGATGGAGGATCCAGTGTGAGGATCCAGTGTTTGCTGCCCGGAGGATGCGCTCCGACCGCGGCTCCAGGACTTTAGGCGTCTGCTGCTGCTTCTGGATGCTGCGGTTCCTCCTGCTCCTCTGAGAGCCATGGCTTCTGAAGTTGTGTGTGGTTTGGTCTTCAGAGTGCTGTTGCCGGTGTGTCTGGCGGCAGGTGAGTGTTTCCAACATTGCTTTTCTTTTTAAATGGTTTTAGCTTGTGCGCAGCGTGGAGATTTTTGCGCAGTTTACGCAACAATTACGCAGCAGGTAAGCGCGTATAGCTAACGTTACCTCTGCGAAGTACTGTTTTGTTTACTGTAAAATGGAGATATAAAGTATTAAATCATGTTAAAGAAACTTATTAGTTATACATAAAAGAAAACACTTGGAGAACGCATATTTGTAATAAAAAATAGGTAAAATATGGGTTTAAATTAGCCAGCATTTAATTTTTTATTACAAATATACCGTTACTTTAAGTTTTATTTTATTTTATTTTGTCAATAAAACTAAATTCTTGGAGAAAGTAAATTTGTAATAAAAGAATTGGGTTAAATATGGTTTAAAACCACCCAACATTCTATTTTATTACACACATTTTCTCCAAGTATTTTATTTTATTTTATTAATAAAGGAAAATACTTTGAGAAAATGCTCGGTTGTTTTTAACCCAATGCTGGACAAACCCAACAGTTAAGTTGAAAAATGTAATTTAATTGTAATAAAAAAATAACCCATGCAGCGTGGAGTTTGTTCATGTTTGTAAAACAAAAAATCAAATAAAGGATTTATTATAAATAAAAGAAAATACTTTGAGAAAGTATTTGTTATAAAAATGCTGGGTGGTTTTAACCCAACGCTGGGTCAAATATGGACAAACCCAACAGTTAGCTTGAAAAAATGTCATTTAATTTTAATTTAATGTACCCAGCATTGAGTTTATTCACATTTGATGTTTGTAAAAAGTAATTCAAAATAAAGCATTTATTATGAATAAAAGAGAATACTTTGAGAAAGTATATTTATAATGAAAAATGCTGGCCAAATACAAACAAACCCAGCAGTTAGGTTGAAAAATGTCATTTTAAATAAAAAGAAATTACCCAACGTTGTTCATATTTTGAAGACGCTCAAATAAAGAATTAATTATGAATCAAATAAAATACTTGGAGAGATTATATTTGTATTAAAAAATGATGGGTCGTTTTAATCCAGCGCTGGGTCAGATATGGACAAACCCAACAGGTTGAAAAAATGTCATTTAAATTTAATTTGAAAAAATTAGCCTAGCTTTGTTAATATTTTTCACTTTTATTAAAGATTCTTTCAAATAAAGGATTTATTAAAAATAAAAGACAATTCTTGGAGAAAGTATTTGTAATAAAAATGCTGGGTGGTTTTAACCCAAAGCTGGGTCAAATATGGACAAACCCAACAGTTAAGTTAAATAAATGTCATTTAATTTTAATTACAAAAATCCACCCAGCTTTGAGTTTGTTCATATTTTGATCTTTGTAAAAAATAATTTCAATTAAAGGATTCATTATAAATAAAAGAAAATACTCTGAGAAAGTATATTTGTAACAGAAAAATACTCTGTGGTTTAAACTCATCTCTGGGTATAACATGGGCAAACCCAACAGTTAGGTTGAAAAATGTTATTTTAAATATGAAAAAAAAATAACCCAACACTGAGTTTGTTCATATTTTGATGTTTGTAAACAATAATTTAAATTAAAGGATTAATTATAAATAAAAGAAAATGCAAAGTATATTTGTAATAATACTGGGTGGTTTAATCCAACTCTGGGTTAAATATGGCAAATCCAACAGTTATTAATTAAAAAAAAATGTATCCAACACTGAGTTGTTTATATTTTGATTTTTGTAAACAATAATTTCAAATAAAGGATTCATTTTTAATAAAAGAAATTACTTGGAGAAAGTATATTTGTAATGTAAAAAGCTGGTTGGTTTTAACCCAATGCTGTTTAAAATGCGGACAAACCCAACGGTTAGCTTAAATAATAAAAAAAATGTATTAGAAAATGATTGTTTTTTTAAATCCAACCTTGAGTTTGATTGACCTCAACATAACGTTAATACAACCCTACAGTCTATTATTCTATGTGTATAAATTAACACAAGATCAAATACAGGATGGGCCATATATATGGATACACCTTAATAAAATGGGAATGGTTGGTGATATTAACGTCCTGTTTGTGGCACATAACTACTGTATACAGAATGTGAGGGGGCTTGTAAATAACTCATGAAAGAATAAAGTTACGTTTAAAACCAAGAACACCATTGTTTTTCTTGCAAAATTCCCAAGAAGTTTATTAAGGTGTATCCATATAAATGGCCCACCCTGTGGATTTAACTGATCTTTAAACTGTAAGGTTTAGTTTTTTTTTTAAATGTTGTTGTGGTAAACATACAAATTACAAAATAAGCCAGAAATAAGTTTAATGCTTAAAAGTACAAGGGAAAATATTGCAAAAGCACAAAGAGGAGACCTTGGCTATAGTTGTTTTAAATGAAAATGCTTCTAGATAAAAGCAGCAGAAAAGCCATTGAATAGCTAATTAGATATTATGTAGTGTTTATATTTACTTAATTTCAGACATCTTTATAATGATTAATAGGATTTCAAAACAATCCAACAGACATAGGATTATTATGAACAATACTAATGAAGAAAAGAAGATCTTACATATATATTTTTTTCAGCTTAGTCCCTTTATTGATCAATGAATCGCCATCTTATACAGCATATGTTCTATGTAGCGGATGCCCTTCCAGCCGCAACCCATCACTGGGAAACAAAAAGACAATCATAATAATTACAATGAATAAATAAATAGACAAGGCATAATCGTTTCAACAAATCCTTTATTGGCTATGGGGGCTTTTCAGTAAAATATATCCAGTATTTTAATAAAACATTTAAATAATGTAATTTAAAAACAAATAGATACGTTCTAATATACAAAATTGGTGCTTAAAGACTATTTTGTTCCCAAAGTAGGAGAAACGTGATTGTTGTTACACCAATTACAGATTTAAAATGTCTTCATGTAAAGTCGTGTGCATTTTAATGTTTTGAAATATTATTTTCAATGTTGGCATGGTGGCTCAGTGTCTAGCACTGTCGTCTCACAGCAAGAAGGTTGCTGGTTCGAGTCCCAGCTGGGTCAGTTGGCATTTCTGTGTGGAGTTTGCATGTTCTCCCCGTGTTGACGTGGGTTTACTCCGGGTGCTCCGGTTTTCGCCACAGTCCAAACACATGCTGTGGTATATGAGTGATTCTCACGAAAACTTTGACATGAATTTTTATAAATGTTTAAATTAACTTTTTGTTTTGGTAGATAATTGAAACAAAGTCTATATATACATATCATTTAGTACCTTTTTGAGCATAATTTCCAAAATAAGGAATAAAAAAAATCTCATTACCGCAACAGTCTGCAAAATCGACTCTGTTAAAAAAACGAGTTCACTTTGATATGTTTTAAAAAGGATTACTAACAGTCAAGTGGAGTTACTTGAGATTCTGAAATAACATTTGTTTTTAAATTAACAGGGTTTTTTATTTTGACTGTTTTTTCTCATTAACGAAATCTTTATTCTAATGTTATTTGTTTTACCAATTGACTAAGTTTTATATTTTAAAATTTTAAATCTTAAGTGCCATCTTGTTTTATTGGTTTCATGAGAATAACCCATAAGTGTGAGTGTTTGTGTGTGTGTGTGTGTGTTTGTTTGTGTGTTTGTGTGTGTGTGCGTGTGCGTGTGTGTGTGTGTGTGTATGTGAGAGTGTATGGGTGTTTCCCAGTACTGGCTGGAACTGCTAAAACATATGCTGGAATAGTTGGTGGTTCATTCCGTTGTGGCGACCTCTGATAAATCAGAGACTAAGTCGAAGGAAAATGAATCAATGAATGAATTTTCAATGTAACTGTATTAACTCTGTCCAGAAGCAATACATTTCAACATGTTTTTAAAATTTAGTTTAATCTATTATTAGTTATTTAAGGACTTGTCTCTAAAATAAATACAGCAAAACAATTATGAAATGCAAAGCAGTGTTTTAAATGTATTCTGATGTTATTTCTTTAGCTTAGAAATGTTAATCGATCCCAGACATCTTTTTTGTAAAGAGTAAAATGACTTTGATACCAACTAAATAGAGGTTTTAAATTTAACATTAAAACATTAAAATACAAACATTGTGAACGCTTCAGCATAGAATTGATCAATTATATTTATTAAAGCATTATTTTAATTGACTTCATTTCATTTAAGTGGAATTTTGGGTCTGAGTATAGGGAATTGTTTTTACAAAAGGTTACAATAATTAACTACTACTCTGTTGGAGTCATTAAATGTTTCATGTGGCTCTGTGTTTGTCTTGTTTTAAGAGCGGATAATGCCATTTTTGTCAGGCATCTTTATGGCTGGACTTAAATTTAAAAGACAGCCTGCTGTGTTTTACATCAGATGACAAATTAATGACCATTTGACTGAATCTACAGTTGAAGTCAAAATGATTTGCCCTCTTGTGATTTTTCTTTATCAAATATGTCCCAAATGATGTTTAACAGAGCAAGAAATTTCTCACAGCATTTCCTATAATATTCTTTCTTCTGGAGAAAGTCTGATTTGTTTTATTTCGGCTAGAATAAAAGCAGTTTTAAATTTTTTTTCAAACTATTTTAAGGTCAATATTATTATATATCAAATTGTATGTGCTGTCATCATGGAAAATATAAATAAATCAGTTATTAGAAATAAGTTATTAAAACTATTATGTTTAGAAATGTGTTGAAATCTTTCTGTTATGCAGATATTGGGGCAATAAATATACAGGAGGGCTAATAATTCTAACATCAACTGTGTATGACGAACTCTGATTTCACTCATCGGCAGGAATTGTGGCCGGTTAACAGGATTGTTGGGTGTATAATTAGTGTTTGATCACAAGGGATGAGTTAGTCTTAGATTATTGACAGAGTAATACAGGGTAACTCCTCTGAGTGTTTTAAAGAGTCATTCGACACCATTGACTTCTGCATAAATCGTATGGAATGACTTATTAATTTATTTCTTCTGATTGTTTCCATTTAGGCCTGGCATCTAATGTAGACACTTTCACTTTGTTATTTG